TCTTACTATATTATTACAGCAGTGGGCGGAGAAAAGCTTCTACTGCCTCTTCGGATAACCCATTTTCCCTCTAACAACTTTTTTTGAGAACTTCTACATTATACCCAATCTAATTCTGCTAGTTTAATCTCATAATGTTGGAATTTCACCCTCTTCCCACTTTGTTGAAACTGGAGAACAGCTTGTGGGTGATCTCTTGATAATAACATTTTATATGTCTAAAACAGCCTTTTCTTCCAAAGTAATTAATCCACCTCCCCTTTTTTACACTTTGCTGTATTTCCCTTGCCTTTACACACCTTTGTTTCCTGATGGATCCTCGTTAAGCATTTCCCATTTTTCTGGGGAAATTATGGCCAAAGAGTTCATTCAGTTTTTTCTGTAAGATGGCACTAGTATCACTTAGTTGTCTTTAACTTCATTTGGAACAATTTTGTTAGATTGTATTGACAGCTGTTATATCAGCATGCATTAAAAAAAAAAAAACAACATCAAAATTGGTGAATTTTAATATTGAAGATTGAAGAAAAAAGCAACATTTTAGGCATATTATGCTTCATTATTTCAAGAAAGGTAAAAATGCAAATGAAATGCAAAAATAAAAAATGTGCAGTGTATGGAGAAGGTGCTGTGACTGATCGAACGTGTCAAAAGTGGTTTGCAAAGTTTTGTGCTGGAGATTTCTCGCTGGAGGATGCTCCAGGGTCAGGTAGACAAGTTGAAGTTGATAGTGATCAAATTGAGACATTAATTGAGAACAATCAACATTATGCCAATCAAACATTGAAAATCATTTGCACCAGCCTGGTTACTTTAATTGCTTTGATGCTTGTGTTCCATATAAGTCAAGCAAAAAAAAAACTTTCTTGACGGTATCTCCACATGCGATTTTCTACTTAAATGTAATGAAAACCCTCCGTTTTTAAAACAAATTGTGACGGGTTATGAAAAGTGGATACTGTACAATAATGCAGAATGGAAGAGATCGTGGTGCAAGTGAAATGCACCACCACCAACCACACCAAAAACTGGTCTTCATCCAAAGAAGGTGATGTTGTGTATATAGTGGAATTGGAAGGAAGTCCTCTGTTATGAGCTCCGTCTGGAAAACCAAATGATTAATTTAATTCCAACAAGTACTGCTCCCAATTAAACCAACTGAAAGCAGCCCTTGATGAAAAGTGTCCGGAATTAGTCAACAGAAAACCCATAATCTTCCATCAGGATAACGTGAGACCACATGTTTATTTGATGACCAGGCAAAAACTGTTACAGCTTGGCTAGGAAGTTCTGATTCATCCACCGTATTCAACAGACATTGCACCTTCGGATTTCCATTTATTTCGGTCTTTACAAAATTCTCTTCCAGGGAAATTTCAATTCCCTGGAAGACTATAAAAGGCACCTGGAAGAGTTCTTTGCTCAAAAAGGTAAAAAGTTTTGGGAAGGTGGTATTATGAAATTGCCTGAAAAATGTCGGAAGGTAGTGGAACAAAAGGGTGAATATTGTGTTCAACAAAGTTCTTGGTAAAAATGAAAAATGTGTCTTTTATTTTTACTTGAAAACCAAAGACATTTTTTGGCCAACCCTATACCTTTGCAGAATTGACCAATACTAAACATAGCATGTGACAGTCACTTTATGCATTCTTTCTGTACTCAGTGTTGTGTAATTCTATTTCCAGAGAGATTTCTCAGGGTGTAACCAGCACATTCCTGTTGTATTCTGCTGCAGTAGCTTAAAGAGAAACGATTTGATTTTTTCTAAATTCAGATTTAATTTAGAGAGATTTCTTTAGAAGAAAACTTTCAGTTTACAACTTTCCTGTTGGCTTTTTATTTAACTTCAAATTCGGCAGGTTGCTGAACTTGTGGGATATTAAGACATAGTAAAATTTGATAACCTAAAATCACTTGCCTTCTGCTATTTTCCTTTAAGAATACAGAAAAAAATATCCATTCATATATTTTTAAATTATTTGTGCAACTATGACTGTGTTAATTTACATCCTTTAAGTTACAAGAACTGAATACTTTTGGGGACAGATTATATACAGAGGTAAATGTACTTTTCAAAAGGAGTAAAAAACAAACAAACATTTTGTGAGCAATGGAAGTATATTTGACATGTGAAAATAAAGGCTATTATTTATTATCTGTTAATAAAGAGTTGATTGGATTAAGTAGACACAGTATTCTCTGAGTTCATTTATTCCTTCAACAAATATTTCCTGAGTGCTCTGTGCCAAGCACTGTGGTAGGCACTAGGAACATACAAGTGAAGAATGCAGTCATGACTCCTGCCCTCATGGAGCTTAAAACTTAACATTGGTGACTTGCTAGTTATTTGGTTTGCCTCCCTTGCCTGTCACCCTCCTCTTCCCCCAGACTCTCTGTCTTCTTTTCTGTACTGCCAACTGCATCCTCTGGGCTTTCAAACTGGCTTCTGGTTGCCTTTAGCCATGAGAGCCACCAGAGGCAATCAGAAGGCATGGGGAAAAAGTCAGGATATGAATTTCAATTTATGCCTTTACTAAACTCCTTTGAGCCATTGGAGTCTTTCCAGCTGGATTCCTGACTGATATGGTGAATATATATATATATATATATATATATATATATATAATTTTATGTAGAGAAACACATGTAAATATATTAGAACTGTATTAAGGGTTATGAAGAAACAAATACAAGTATTGAGATACAGCGTAATGGGTGTGAATTAAACAAAGTATTATAGATGAACTCTTAGAGGGTGATATTTAAGTTGAGGCCAGAGAATAAGTGGGAGCCAGCATAGAAAGAATGGGAAAGATGGTCCTGATGGAGGAAACAGCAAGTGCAATGCCCATAAGATAGAAAAGAGCTTGACATGCTCTGTGCCAGAATTTAGTTATGATATTCTATGAGGAACATTCAGTTAAACCATTCCATGTGGACAGACTGAGGGGACAGATCAGCTTGAGTGGCAAGGTGTGGATCAATATCTAGTGACAGATACTGAAGATTTTGGACAGACAAATGTCTGCCAGAGAACCATGTACTTGTTAAAGTGGCAAGCAGCTCAGGTGAGTTGTGGGAATGAAGCAGATGCTCAGGTATTAATTCAAAATTGCTGTGATCATGTTGGGATACAATGATGATCTACTCCACATGATAATGTGCTGTAAAGAAATTAACATATATAAAGATGTTATTTCTTTGATCTTATTTACTTTCATCAGAGTGGTAAGTTAGTCTTTAGGTACAGATAAATCTCTTCGTAACATGATTTTCCTATTTATTTATTTATTTTCATGAGGGGAGAAGGAGTAGCAAAGAAGGGGTGGAGGAGTTGAAAAAAATAAAGTATTAAAAGAACTTAATTTGACAGTTGTATCCTACCTAGAATGAAAGGGACTTTAAGGATCAATTTACTAAGCATATTTCAAGACTTCCAAAAGTAAACACATCAAACTTATTAAATAAGCCTGCCTGGGGAAATTTCTCATATTGCTTTTTCTCCATGAATCTAGTTCTCTAATTTGTTTTACAGTATGCTCTCCTTTTGTTTGAGGTTTTAGGGCAAATTCTGGCATTTAAGAATTATTTAACTGTAGGATATACTAAAACATTTGACATCAAGCCAAATAATTATTTTTGCATTTTTCAGAATTGATCAGTTCACTTGGGACATTTTCAGGCATACTTGGTACCACAACATGGGCAAATGGTGAAAAAAATTACTTTTAAGGTATTATTTAATCTCATGCATTTAACTAATATATATGAGTTTGGAAATCTTCCTCAGATATCTGCCAAATAACTCCTGGATGAATTTTAAATTATTGAAATATGTTTCTACTTACAGGCATCTTTTGCTGGACCACTCAACACTTTTAATAGACCAGACAACAATTTATTTTGTTTTTAGTTTATTATGATATTGCTCCTACCCAGATTTAAACAGAATTGCACATATATTATTTCAATCAGTCCTAATATTAGAAAACATGGTGATTACTATTGTCATGCCCTAAACCTCCTCTTACTAGCTGAATTTTTCATATTCACTAATATTTTTCCCACCCGTAGACTACACCTACTTCAAACACATTTATAGAGCATGTTTTATCTCCAAATACTTTATAGTTATGCTATGGGAGTTAGCTCACCATGACTGAGGTTGAATGATTAGTAACTCTGATAGAGATGCATTTATGCAAATTATAATTATAGAGTCTAGAAAGGACTCTGAGGTCTTATCACCCTAAAAAAAAAAAAAAAAAAACTACAACACTCTATTTGAAATAAATCATAATACTCTAATCAAATATAATCAAAATCTCACTCCTGTTCCTATGCCCAATATTTATACTGTAAACATCATTGACAAGTGATTATATATTGTGAGATTTAAAACCTCAGAAATAGAATTATTAATCATAGCAGGCATTAGAGTGTGATGTGAATCATCTTTCTGATTTGGGGAATGATTGCATGTTATACATATTGACAGCTGCTGCTATCATGTTATTATTATTTCAGGAGAGACTGAAGTAATCAATTGCATCAGTGTAACTATTTAAGATTTTTATACTCTTGTCTTATTATATCTTATCAGAATCTATATCCTATACATAAGGAGGGGATAGCACCATATCCCCTTTTTATTTCATTTCATTTTATTTCATCATTGCTGAAGGAAATTTAAGAATGATACTGAAATTTTAAGACAAGTAAGCAAAGGGATGTAAAGCTCTTCTTTTACTTAAAGACTTTTCCTTTATGTTAAAATAGCAAAACTATATATATTATTGTTCAGAGAAATAACCAGAAAGATGGTAATTTGTTACTTCATCAATTCCCATTTGCCCTTCTTTTGAAAAATGAATAACCACCAAGGAGCTTCAAGGTTTCACTCAAGGAAAATAAAACCTATCAAAATAAGTGATCCAAAAATAAGATATGTCACATGTTAATAAACAATTGTGTCTAATTATAGAAGGATATGTACTTACTTGCCAAGTGCAAAGCATTCCATCTTAACAGTTGCTCCCTTAGAAGCTGTAACTGTGAAAGGGAAATGGACCTCAATTTTCGGCTCATATTCTCCCATCACACCTGGGAAATAAAGAATAGTCTTTAAACATTAAATGAATGTCACAATTTCTCTCCAGTCCTGTAGATGTTACATTGGAAAGCACTGTGTTGTCCATATCTGTTTGAAGACTGCTAAACTTTTGATGTACTGAAATAAGAAGTAATCATAGACTGAATCATTATGATGAAATCTTAATCTTCCCTTAAGGATTGGATTGCATGTATATTCAATACCATTTAAAATAATAATTATTGAAAATGCTAATCAACACTGGTAGTTTACCTACTGATTATATTTCAGAGGAAATAAATAACTATGAACAAATCCTATGGAAATAATGGTGCTGATTTTTTTTAAAATAAGTAAAGGTCTCGGAACTTTCTTTGTCATTTTCAGATAAATGAATGCTTATTTGTTAAGTCAACATATATTTATTGAATATCTATAATATGCATGCATTTTTCTATGCATTGTGGGAGTTATAAAGATAGATCAGCCATGGACTGTGCTCTCAAGCACTCAACAAGTGTATTCTTAAAGAAACAGCATATACTCGAGGATGGCAGAAGAGTTATATATCAAAATCACTGTAATGTAAGATAGGAAGTGATGAGTGCCCTGCCCTGAATGAGGTATCCCTAAAGTATTATGAGCATTTGAGGGAATTATAAGAATAGTTAGAATTTGTATAAGTGAGAGAAAGGAGAAAGTAAATGGAACTGCAGGAACAGAGACAAAGAGATAGGAAACCACCAGAAATAGGAATATTAGTTTTTCTGGCTTCTTGGTATGTGAAGGGAAATCATACTAGGCAAATTTCGAAATATAAATGTACTCCAAAAAACAGAGGGTCTTGGGCTTCTCTGATGGCGCAGTGGTTGAGAATCTGTCTGCCGATTCAGGGGACACGGGTTCGTGCCCCGGTCCGGGAAGATCCCACATGCCATGGAACCTCTAAGCTAGTGAGCCATGGCCACTGAGCCTGCGCGTCCAGAGCCTGTGCTCCCCAACGAGAGAGGCCACAACAGTGAGAGGCCCGCGTACCACAAAAATAAATAAATAAATAAAAAATAAAGGACCTTGATTATCAGAGCAAGACAGTCAAATTTTAATCTGTAAATAATTTGGAACATTTGGAATTTCGAATAGGAGACTGGCATTTTGTTGAGATGTATATACTGGAGTTGGAGCAGAGACCAGTAAATCAATTATATTATTTCAATAATGCAAGTTAGAAATAATGAAAACCTAGACTTGAATTATACAGCAAAAAACGAGAAGAGGCATTAGAATGAGAAAAAAAACAAGACTTGAACTTTGAACATAATAGGGGTACTGGAGATAAGGTTGTGGGCCTCATCAATAACAACAGTAAGATTTCCAGCTTGGGAGAGGGGTGGGGTGATGTAAGTGAAAGAAAAGCATGCAGCTATGGTGGGAAACTTGATGATTTCTATTTTGGGAGTATTGTCTTTGATTCCTATAAGATATTTAGAATGCAGTGAGAGGATGAAGCTGGAGATGAGTTCTGAACAGGTGATATATGCTTAATATCATCACTCACAGGTGGCAGTTAAAGACGTGAGATTGCAGAGGGCTTTCACCTATTAAAAAAACAATACACTATAACTGAGTCACTTTGCTGTATGGCAGAAATTAGCACAACATTGTAAATCAACTATACTTCAATTTAAAAATATCATACACTAGTGATGCCTGGTGAATTCCAGTGCTTGTGTCCTCAGGCAGCCCTAGAGCTAATTTCCCCCAGAAAATAATTTTTAGCAGATCCCTATGTGTTAAGCACCACAGAGGACACAATTGTGATTGAACACAGATGCTTCTCTGAGGACCTTGTGTGTGTGTTTTTGGTGGTGTCTCTGTATAGGGCCATATGTGCACATAGAGATTTGTGTATGTGTATAGCTCTATGTGTAATTCCTTGGTGTGTGTGTGTGGTATCAGGAGGGAGAGAGGATGGAAGAAACCCAGACAGAAGAAGAAGTAAATGTCATAAGATATGAAGGCAAGATGTACTGGGCATGCAAGGGGAGAAATGGTTACCTTTGACAAAGAAAACTCTTATGTGTTCATTTATTATTATTATTATTTTAAATTTTGATTCCAGATGGTTCTTTAAGGAATAAAGAATGTAGACAACTTTAGATGGAAAATGTTTAAGTTCACTGAGGACAAGAATATTACCTTTGCTTTGTTGTTGTTGTTGTTGTTGTTTTTTCTTAGTTTTTTGCAAAGCAATCATAAAGAAAATATTACTGATGTTTTCATCAGAGGTTGGGCTTGTGTACATTGGCTCTGCTCATGACTAGCCTACAGCACCTCTGACAGGTCAGTGACCTCTGTGTCTCATTTTCTAATCTGAAAACTGAGGAAATAGAAGAAAACTACCATTAATGTAATATCCTGCTCTGTTGGGCTAACTCCCTTGATTCCTTCCAAGTCTAATGTTCGCCGAGCACCAAGTTCCTGATACACAGCAAGTAAATTGAGAGTTTAGTAGTACAGTAATACTCAAAACAGATGTTTAAGCACTTCTCTATCTCTTTCTCAATATTTTTTTCTCTTCTACTTCTTTTTTCCTATATCCTTCTGCCCCACCCATATATTTTCCAACTTCCTTTCTTTTTTTTTTTTTTATATTTTTTTCCTGTATATCTCCTGAATGACAATATTTGGCCTGTTAGTGTTGCCTGGCTGAGTGTATCCAATGATGAGGAGTTTGTCTTTAATGCTCTCTTAGTTGGAAGCCCTCATATAAGGACTTCTAGGCATCCTGTTCAGTGGTTACCTTCAGTCCCTGAAGTCAGCTTCTGATCTCCTCATCCACTCTTAACATTGATTCTGTAGTATTCTTGTTCCTGTCTGCCTGTTAACCTGATGATTTAATAATACATGATTTATTGTGATGCTTATTAAGCTTAAGCTTATTAAACTCAATGCCTTACTTGCATAGGTCCCTGTGAGTGCTGGCAGTTGTTGAGTTCTGTAGAATGTTGTAGAAAGGCAGTGAAAGTCAGGCTGAATTTAGAAAATATTTCTATATAATTATTTCTAGTAAGTTGTTTAAAGACATCTCAGAAGAAAATAACCTGAATCTATAAACTCCAGTAATTTGTCTTGATTATTTTTTTCCTAACCTAACTAAAAATTCCCTTTAGAATCCACTTTTATATTAATACTTTTGTATTCTTTATATTAAATAAGGTCCAATAATTGTAAAACATTTCAAGCCCTTCAAAACCTGGATCTGCCTCAAAACAATACCAAGATATGACTGATATTATGGGCTAATAGGAGCCAGACCCATGTCTTCTCTCAAATTCCCTTCCAGATAACGTTTGTGAATTGCAAAGAAGACACTCTTTTATAGCTTTAATTCTTAAGGATGATTCAAAGGAAAGGCATTCCT